TATATATATATATATATATATATATATATATATATATATATATATATATATATATGTATATATATAATATACATAAACTCTATTGTTATTTATACTAACAAAATAATTTTTTCTTTTTGTATACGTAAACCAAAGTATTTCATCTATTTCCTTTCAATAAAAAGCTATTTCTTTTCAATAGAAAGCTATTCTAACCCTAAACCCTAAACCCTAAACCCTAAACCCTAAACCCTAAACCCTAGATCCGTGAGCGTTGAGTAGGGTAAGCTGTTGGTGGTTTATATAGAGGAGCAAGCTGTGATGATCTAGTATTTGTAGGGTTAAAATTTACAAAAAAAATATAATAATTTATTGAAAATATATTTAAATTTGTTTTTTTTTTGCTTTTGTTTGGGGTGTATGTGCAGCTGTTGGTTCTGCCGGGCGGTCTGATGAGATACAATGGTCTTGCTGCTGCTGGTGAGCGGCGCAGGATGAAGGATACCGAGAAAAAAGGAGAAATTTGTGTATAAAAAACAAAAGTATTCAATATTTTGAATATAAATTTGTTTTTTTCTCGAAAAAAGAAGAAAAAAAAACCAAAATTCCTTAGGTTTCTGCTGCGTTGCACTGTGTGTGTTCGCCGAGGGCTGGTGACAGACACACTCACACTGCATGAGGGTTTAGGGTTTAGGGTTTAGGGTTTAGGGTTTTGTAAGTTTTGTGTGAAAGTGTTCGAAATTCTTTGACATTTTCATCAAATATTTTGGTGGAGAGTAGAAAAAAGAAGTATATTTGTGTTTTTTTTCTGTTTCTGTGCATATATAGGGTTGTATAGGTTTCGCTGTTTCAGATTGCTTTCATCCGCCGGCCTTGTATTTTGGCCCGATCTTCACGGAAACTCGGTGTTTTTTTTCGTTTTTTCGTTGAAAATAGTTGAATTATAATATTTTCTTTGATTTTATTCAAAAAAAATGGGTCGGGGAGGCGGAATATGCAGCAAAGTGGGCGGACGTGAAAACCCTGCAATTGCAGCTTGGGCTGTATCTGCAACTTTGATGGCTGCTACATCTATGACTCTTTTTCTTCTCGCAGAAGCAACACAATTAACAGATACTGCAGGAAAAGGATTAAACCCAGAAGAATATGGAGAAGTAATGTTTGTATCTCGCGCAACATTCCTAGGTTTAGGTGGTTTGCATGCTGTATTGTTTATATGTTCATGTATAATAACTATATTAGGTTATTTCTTTTGGTCTCAGCTTCTTTGTTTTGCTTGTCCTTTAGTTATATTAAACCAAATAGCATGTATTGTAACTTCTGCTTTTGGTGGATATATGTTGCATTGTGTATATAACCATAGAACAGAACAAATAGATATAGCTAGGTTAGGTGGTATATCTCCATCTATAGATTTTTCTGTTTCTTTTGTTGATTCACATGCATCATTAATTTTATTTATTTCTATTGCTTCTCTTTGTTCTCTTTCTCCTTTATCTAGAGCTGGCACCATAGATGAAAAAGGTACTATGGTAGATATTATGTTACATTTACCTACTATCACCGGGTGTATAGGCATGTCTGGTTTATTTATTTTTCCGTCTCGAGAAAAATTTTATATAATTATGGGTTCTTTATGGTTATTATTATCTATATTAGCATGTATATTAATATATCTACAAAAATATAATTCATTTATCAGTAGAATAGCTACATTTATATTCTCTTTTTATTATATTTTTGTTTTTCTTTTTTCTATTATTTCTATTGTTATATGTGGTAAACATTATATAGGGGGAAGAAACCAAGTTATAGATTATGTACGTACAGCAGCAATATATAAACCCCAATATTTAAAAAACATGAATGATGATGATTACTATTTATATAAAAATTATATTATACAAAATGAGGGTGGGTACAGTCTTGCTGCTATTCTGCTTTCTTCGCTTTTATTTATTTATTCTTTTATGGGCGCCCTCTTCTCTTTACGCGCCCTTATAGGCGGCTCTGACGCACTAAGGAGAGATATTTCGGGCTCATCCAGCGATAAAGATTAAATACAATAAATACTGCTGCTGCAGCAGCAGCAGCAGCAGGAGATGCAGCAGCAGCAGCAGCAGGAGATGCAGCAGCAGCAGGAGATGCAGCAGCAGCAGGAGATGCAGGAGATGCAGCAGATGCAGCAGCTGCAGCAGCTGCAGCAGCAGCAGCAGGAGATGCAGCAGCAGCAGGAGCAGCAGCAGGAGATGCAGCAGCAGCAGCAGCAGCAGAGGGAAGGATACACACGGAAATAACGAGGGGTAGGAACGCCAGAAACTGCAGCAGCAGCAACTGTAGCAGCAGCTGCAGCTACTGCAGCAGCAGCAGCAGCAGCAGCAACCGCAGCAGCAGCTACTGCAGCAGCAGCTACTGCAGCA